CCCCGATAATCTGAAGTGTCTAGGGTGAAAGCCGCCCCAGGTCTGACTTGCCTTGCGCGAAAACATTTTCACTGCTCTCATGGACTGGTCGACGGTAATTTCTGGAAGAGCGGTTCGCTCTTCGGAGGAAGCCTCATAAGGGGCTCGGGGCGAGATCCCGGAAACCCAGATGCCTTCGAGTCTCCTATCAGTAGCCCGTTCCCTGTCGAGGACGCGGTCAAGATCCACGTAGATCTGCTGGAAGATGTCGGCGGGTATTGCTGCGAGAGCCTACCTTGCCCTCGCGCCCGTGCTCAACGCGCAACGAACGCCCTCGATCTCATGGCATGCCGCCAACAAAGATGGCCTAGTATGGAATTCTATTGGCGCCTGAGCAAGCTCGTCCAACACATTGTCTGGGATTACCACGCGGACCTCCGAAGGTTCGTTCAGGTGTCGCAATAAATGCTGCAAGACATGTCGAAGCCACGTTAACCTATCGGGCGGACTAAAGATGCCCAGGATGTTCGAGCCTTCTTGTGAACAGCCTGAACTGGTACCCAGTTTATCCTGGGGCATTGCCACCAGCGAGAAACCTTTGGACATGGAGCGTCTGTCTTCAAACACACCTTGTCGAAAACCTCGGCAAACGGCCCATGAGACGCGCCCAGCAAAGCGTGGCTACGATTCTGGGCCAGATTTTCTTCGTCAATGATATCCAAAGTGAGTTCTGACCAGAGATCCAACTCGCCCCAGCTCGAACTCTCGGTTGCTGGGCCAGAGGGTCGTCGAGTAGGGAGTTGAGGAGGAAGTGCAAATATTTGCACTTGAGATTGTTCTTTCATTCTCAACGAAAGAACCACCAGACGATGAAGCGAAAGCGCATACTTTGTGAGACTCGGCTTTTTCGACCTGGCTCTTGATGGTTTCTGACATCAGGAACTAATAGATCGTCGACTTGGTACGCTTCTTTGCATGCGTATAGTTGGCTGAGACGCTCAATTCCATACTGGCTCTGACTAGGTAGCCGGAGTCAACCAGAGTACGGTTTGGCACGTTGAAATCACCACCGGCCAGGACAGGAAGGTGGTATCGATCATGCATGATAGCGATTGCGCCAAGTATATTCATGTTAACCTCACGGAGGCCCGTGCTGACCTCAATACATACACAGGAAGTGTCCCATATGTTCCGCCCCGATGCTCCACCTCCAAGATAAATGCTAACATTATGTGCGTGCAGTGATACTCAAAACCTATGCTCTGGATTCCGAAATTCATGCCTGCAAGAAGTAAGACTGCGACACCACCAGACTGCTTACCCGACTCTAGAGAAGCTGATGGTGCGAAACTTGCATACCAACCTCGAGCTGCACTGAACTCAATTGCGCTTCTGATTTTCTCCGAGACTAGGTGGGTTTCTTGAAGTACGAGATTGCGGTACTGGTTCAGCGAAGTAGGTCGAGAGGGCTTCTCGGACTGATCCAAATTGAATTCGAAAGTATTCCAATAATTGATATTGATAGTGGCTATGAGTAACATCGCAGACTTGTGATCAGCAGACTGGTCTCCTGAATTCCTGCTTCAATTGGATCTGCTGGGCCCAGGCTGTTAAAGTAAATGCCCAGTTGCCCCCCAGCCCCCAAGGTTGGTGGGGATGGGAGTTGGTCATAGGGGGCGCCCTCCACCCCAGTGGAGCCCTCGGGGCCCGCTGAAGGGGCAGATGAAGACATTTCAGTCGCCAAGGCCTGTGCTTCGTCCAATAATTCAGACAGCTCTCCACAGTCGGGACCCTTCTTGTCTGGAGCCTTGATCTTGCCCTTGGCCCCTTGCCCTTTTCTTGGCTTCCTGGCTTTGCTAGCGATCGATATTGCTTTGGCCATCTGCTTTGGGTGCTTTGTTGCCAATCATTTCGCTCCTGATGCAGCCCGAGCGGCGAACTGCTGCAAGGAAGTCTGATCGACGGCACTCTCTTCGTGATCTGTTTCCATCGACCCACTTGTCCCCCACCTGCTGCATGCAACTCCTCCTGTCCCTCCCACTGCAGGAAATACATCAGGCGAGGGAGGGGCGGGAGGGCCCATCGGCGTCGCAGGAGCCGCCGCCGCCGCTGCTGCCTCTGGGGACGCCGGCTGCTGACCAGGGACCCCTTGTGAATAGGCTCCTGGGATAGCGGGCTGCGAGGCCTGGTCATCTTGCCCCTGTTGCTGCAGCAATTCCTGGGCCTGTGCTTCCTGGGCCTCCGAGCAGAAGACCTGATTCAGGGTCCCCGAAAGCTGGAGGAACGTGTCCTGGACCACTTCCTGGGACTGCGCTGAAATTGTACCCAAACGCTGGGAAATAGCTTGCTGCATGCGCTGGACCAGGGACAGGAGGTCGGCACGCTCATCAGACACAACGGTGGCCGTTGCTGCTCTGGAAGTTGTTGCGTATTGCAACTCCAAGTCACGGATCTCCTGGTTGATTGTGTCTGTCTCTTTGGTGGGCCGATCGTGAAGCTCGCTCTGTTGCTTGACAGAGAACTCGAGAGCCGCCATCTCGACTGTACTAGTAGCCACCTTCTTGTATTGGACTTGGATATGGTCGGCCAAGGACTGGGCCTGGACTGGAAGCGGGCGACTGGCGAAGGCAGCGGCCTTTGCTGTATGCAAGGCCTGCTTGGCCTGGATAAGTCTTGGATCTCCTGGGCTAAAGTAATTTCTGGCACAGGCGAAGTCGCACTGCGCAGCGTATGCAGGATCGCTGCGGTACTTCTCACGATCGTTGTTCTGGAATTGGAGCTGGAGGCCTGCCTCTCTGGCTCACTAGCGATAGTGGTGGCTGCTGCTGCTGCTGGAGATGCTGGTGTTGCTCCAGGCCCACCACCGTGTTCACCACAGCCTCCACCCGAACCTCCTCCAGATCCTCCTCCCGTGCCTTCGTCGAACCACACCCACTTGCCCCATGCCGCCGCTGCCCCCCTGCCCATTGGTCTGGTCACGAGGCTGCACCCGTGGTGGGGCCGAGGGGGAGGGCGGACACACGAGCTGCTTCGGGAAGACCTCGCCGCAGTGGCGGCACCTCCGCTTCCCCCTGCACCGGCCACACCCAACCTGGGCAGCGGGCCGTGGCGCGCTGCCAGTCGGTTGGAGGGGGGTCGACATGGCAGCGAGAAGTAGAAAGGTGAGAGCCTAAACAAGTGGAGCGTGTTAGGCAGGTTTGCTCCGCGTGCAGCGCGCGTTTGAAAGCTTGGTCCTCGAGCCGAGGTTGGTTGGGGAACCCTATCCCGCCGAGGATGGCGGAATGGAGCTTGAGTCAAAATGGCTACATACGGTAGCAGCAGCAGAACGAGGACCAGGACCAAAAATTCTAGACGCTTCGCGTATCCCCACCAGCCCGTCCAGAAACGACGCCCAGGCGAGTAGAGGGTCGTCCTGAGGGGCTTTTCGGCGTGTTGGGTGCCTCGGGGGGGGCTCTGTGGGCCGATCGGGATCCTCTTTGGGGCCTCCTGGGGGCCTCTTGGGGCCTCTTGGGGCCATCTTGGGGCCTCTTGGGGGTCTCTTGGGGGCCTCCTGGGGGCCTCTTGGGGGGCCTCTTGGGGCCATCCTGCGGCCTCTTGGGGCATCCTGGGGGCCTCTTGCGGCCATCGTGGAGGAAATCGATCAAAGAAGAGGGGAGCCTTAATTAGCGTTGCCCCCTGAGAAGGCCAAAATGGGGCCAAAACCATAGTAAAATCAATGTTTTGGGCTTCCTCGCCGAGGCCGTTTTGGACGCTCTGACCGCTCCCCGCCCCTCCTGTCCAGGTCAGTGGGGAGGGGGTAGGGGGAGGGGTAAACCCCTCCCCGAAGGGGGAAGAGGGAGGGGTGGAAGAGGAAACTCGTTAAACCACCGACGCCCAGAGGGCTGGTGGGATTATGAGGAAAGGGCGGCGGAGGGCGAGAACGAATAAGGTCGAGGAGGAAGAGGAGGACCGAGGAGTCGAGGAGGAGGAGGATGAGGAGGGGTGGTGGCGAGGCGAGATGCGGCAGCAGCATCTTCGCAGGACGACGACGCCGTCGTCGACGCCGACGCCGACGCCGACGCCGACGCCGACGCCGACGACCACGACGCCGCCGCCGCCGCCGCCGACGACGACGACGACGACGACGACGACGACCACCACGCCGACGACGACGACGCCGACGACGCCAACGACGACGCCGACGATGCCGACGCCGACGAAGCCGACGACGACGATGCCAACGACGCCGACGCAGACGATGCCGACGACGACGCCGACGACGACGACGGGGCTGAGGCCGCACTCGCGGGCCACGGCCTCGAGGGGCAGCGGCAGCCACTCCGAGGCCGGCGTCCTGCCTCCCCGCGTGCGGCATCCGCGGGGGCCCGGGCGGGGCTCGACAAGGGAGGGCGGTTCACCTCCAGTGCAGTCACAGGGAGTTCGTTTTGAACATTGGTCCTCCTTTCCTCCTCATCCTTTCCTCCTCCTCCTCCTCCTCCTCCTCCTCCTCCTGCTCCCCCTCTTCTTCTTTCCTCACCCTTCGCCATCCTTTCCTCCTCCTCCTCCTCCTCCTCCTCCTCCTCTGTCCTTCCCCTTCCCTATCCTTTCCCCCTCCTCCCTCCTCCCTTTTCCCCTCCTCCCTCTTCCTCCTCCCTCCTCGGTCCTCCTCCCTCCTCTTCTTCCTCTTCCCCTCCTCGCAAGGGACTCCATTCCAAAGATACGGGAGGCATTGCTTTCAGACGCTTTCAGCGTGCTTTAGTCATGCAGCTTGGCCGTCGTGCTCAAGCAAATCCTCGTCCTCTCCTACGCCTCCTCCTCCTCCCTCTCCTTCTTCGCCTCCTCCTCTTCCTCCTCCTCCTTCCGTAGCCATTTTGGCTCAAGATGATGTGTCCCACAGGGGGACAAGTGGATACCGCTAGTCCGCGGCAGACAAGGCCACCTGTGGCCTGGCAGACTTCCACCACACCGACGTTTGCCACCACGGGTAAACGGAGGCCTTTCCCGTTCCTGTGGGCGCGAGCGTCAAAGGACTCCTCCCAGCCATGTCAGAGAAAGGAGACTCGCCAGCAGAGACGCCACTGCGCGGCAAAGGGATCTCGAAGCGTCCCCCTCCTCTTGGCGAGCCTGGCGGTGCTGCTGGTGGCAGGGCTGATCGCTCACGCTGGCCTCCACAGGGTGAGGAAACAGACCTGGACGCCTACGCCACTATGGCCTACGTGCAGTCCCTCCAGGCAAAGATCGATGCGATGGAGACCTCAATCAAGGAGTCCATCAACGCCACCGTCACCACCGTGGTCGGCTCCGCGACCAATCCCATCTCGCTGGCGCTCAAGGCCGCCCAGGACGGCATCGACGGGCTTGGCGCCAAGATCGAGAAGAACGTCCACCTCGCCGTCGGCCAACAGATCGACTCCACGAGGAAGCACTTCCAGCAGATGCTCGACGCGTTCAACATCCGCGTCGGCGAGGTCGAGGCCAAGCAGGAGAAGACTGACAAAGCCATCGGGCTCATGGCCGAGCAGATCAAGATCTTGCAACGCGAGCTCGCCACATCCAACCAGCAACCGATCAAGCAGCAGTACATCGGGCGCGACTTCGACCGCGAGACCGACGCCACCATCATCAAGGTCCATGCCGACGGACTCGTCACCCTGGCCAAAGCCACCGAGTCCCTCACCAAGTTTGTGGCGGGCTGCGACATCCGCGAGTCTGACTTTTCACTGTCACGGGCAATGACGCTGCCAAATTCTTCACGATCAAGTTCACAGGCCTTCCTGGCCCCGCCAGCCGCCGAGCACAGAAGGTCCCGGACAGCATGCGCTCGTCCAACGGCACCTGGGTGCGCATCTACGCCGACGCTGTCTCGGGCCACGGGGCGGTCGAGCTGCGGATGGGCCCCGACAAGACGCCGAAGCAGATCAAGACGGAGATCGTTGGGAAGCGCCTCCGCCAAGCCATGGAACGCGAGGTCCCGAACCACGTCTGGCGAGTGGACCGCACAAAGGCATGGATCACAGCAGGGTGGGCCCCTGTCATCGCGTACAGCGTCCGCCCAGGCAGGGGCGAGCCGACCATCCTCACGTTCCAAGACACCGGCCTGCCTGCGCTGGGCATCGACCGCACGACGCTCAAGAACGCAGCCAGCGTGGTCGTCGCACCTGAAGCCGCCCCGCAGTTTTGGCTTTGACGAGCTGGCGCGCAGCCAGCAGCGCCCTCCCAGCGGACCGTCGCCCTGCCTAGCAGTCGGCACGTGGAACGCCCGCGCTCTCTTGGGCTACCAGGGCAGACGTGTCGTGGAGAAGTCATCGTACCTCAAGTCCATGCCGCTGCGCAAGATGGTCTTGGGCATCCAGGAGGTGCACCAGAACCATGACCAGCTCCTCGCCTTCATGCGGAAGATCGACAGCACCCTCGACATGCACTCCTCCTTCGCTCCTGGGTATCATGGCACTATCAGTGGCGGGGTAGCCGCTGTGTTCCCAGCTGGGATGAACGCCGTGAGCGACCCCATCTTCCCTGGCCGTGTCCTACGCTCTGTCTTCCGTGCTGGCGACCAAATGATGATCTTCTACAATGTCCACAATTACGACCTCAGCAACGCCACCATCCAGAACATCACCTCGCGCATCAACAACGACCTACATTGGGTGAGGTCCGACCCGAGCCGCAATGTCATGTTCGTCACTGGTGATTTCAACTTCTCCGCCGTCGGGAAGCTGAAGCTCATGGACCCTGCGGCAAAGGGCAACTCGAACCCATCCGAAACGTCCAAAGCATCGGCGCGCAAGTGGCACAACGCTCTGCAGCATCTAGTGGAGATTGACAGCGCCGACACCACGCACTACTGCTCCGAGACGAAGGCCGAGACCACCATTGACAGATGCTTCTGCTCATTCACCCCCACACAGATGATGCAATTGGCTGTTACGTCCTCTACCTTCTCCACGCCCGAAGATCTCTCACGCCGTCGAGTCAGTGACCATGCCGCCCTCTTCGTCTCCTTCACGATGCGGGACGTCAAACCCTCGCCGAACCAGCCGATCGCCCAGTGCATTGCCAAGTCCCCCGTTTTCAAAGAGATTGCCGACAACGTTTTCGCCGCCCCCCCCCATGGGCAACTTATCCCCGCCGACCAAGCTGATTCTGACCACCGACCTCCTTCGACAAATCGCACGTGAGACTCGTGACCGTCTTCACGACATGCAACCGAACAGTGGCGACGTGCTCTTCCAGGTAGCGAAGTCGATCTCTCGGGCAGTCTGGCGCCAAGACCGACACCTCGCTGCTCGCCTCCTTCGCTCGCACTTAGTCGCGAAAGAACATATCCAGATCAAAGGTGACAGCGTTGAGCTCATTGACCATGCAAAGTTCGAGGAGTGGGCAGGCATCCTTTTCCGCCGAGATGCTGAGCAGCGTCTCGAAGCCATTGACCAAGCAGTTCAGCGTGGGCGCCTACGACCCGCTCAAGCTCTGGAACCCGCTCAGCAAGCGTCTGGTTCTGACGGGGGTCAAGACTAGCGAGGGCACCGTGACGGGCCCCAGCGAGCGACTCAAGAAACTTGTCGAGCACTGGCAGCCCGTCTTCGAGGACAAGTCCGTCGACTCGACCAAGGCCGCAGCCTACCTGAACCAGTTCTCGCCCACCATCGATTTTTCCAAGTACAAGCCGCCAGACTACGAGACGCTCAAGAAGTTCGCCAAGCGCTCGTCACCCACCTCGCCAGGCCTTGATGGGCTCCCGTACCTCGCCTGGTCCGCGCACGAAGAGTGCACCGAGGTTCTCTGGGACGTCATGTGCTACATGCTTAACGGCGGCATCTTCCCCGACGAAGTGAACGCGACTGTCCAAGCCTTCTTGCCCAAAGGTGAGGAACCCGAGGACTCGGAACACAACGGCTGCCATCGAGACCCATCCAAAGTTCGTGTCTTGGGACTGCGCAACACGTCCCTCAAGATCATCAGCAGCGCGATGAATGCTGCGACGGCAATGGTGGCAGCTGATGTAGTCCCAGCCTCACAGGGCGGGTTCATCCACCGGCGCAACGTTGGCTACAACATCCTCGAGCTCGACGCCGAGAGCCGCATTGCCTCGGCCGACCCAGATGCCCAGAACATGCTGCCTGTGCTGGTGTCGCTGGACATCGCGCAGGCCTTTCCCAGCTTCGCCCACCAGTTCATCCGTCTGGCGCTCAAAGCCATGGGCGCCCCTGAAGCGGCCCTAATGTTCTTCGACTCCATGTGCAACAACATCCTCGCGATGGCCCCGTGCGCTGGCCAGTACGTACCGCTCTTTTACATCAGGTCGGGCATCATCCAAGGATGCGGATGGAGCGGCACGCTGTATGCGCTGGGCACTGCATGCTTCCTGCTCAACCTCGAGACCGTCCTCGAAGCTCAAGGCCGTGGACTTTGTCGGGCATGCGCTGATGACCTTGGTCTTGTCCTTCGGGCCGTTGCCTACCTCGTCTACCTCGCAGACGTCATGCTTTGCATGGAAATCCTGGCTGGTCTTGAATTGAAGGCGCCGAAGTGCCACATCTTCCCCTTGGCAGGCCAGGTCAATGCTGACCTCGCCCTCAGGCTCAAAAACGCGCTGCTCGCCATAGTCCCGAAGTTCAAGGACTTCAACGTATGCGACCACCTTACCTACCTCGGCCTCTTGCTGGGCCCTGGCGCCACGGACCAGCTCATCTACGCGAAAGCGTTCAACAAGTACCGCTCCCGAGCCATGGCGCACAGCGCGAGTGACGCGCCAGCCGTCGGAACTGTCTCCCTGTATAACGGCCGCGCGCTCCCAGTCCTTGGCTACCTTGCCCAGTGCGCCTTGCTCCCGCACGAGCACTTCAAACACGAGAGCTGGATCAACGCCTCCGTCCTGCGCTTCCCGAATGGCGCTTTCAGGCTGAAGGACTAGCCCTTCCTGAAGAACTGGGGAGTTCCTGCGCCGAGGTCGCTCCAGCTCAACATGATTGCGACGATCGTCCGCGCGGCGACCTCGACATTCAAGAAGTTCACCGAGATCCGCGTGAGGCTGCATGAAGGCCTGAACTCCTACGGCATCCAGCAGACCCTTGAAGGCGCTGCGCGGGGCGTACTTCATCTCTCACCACCGCGGTGGAAGACGCAGGCCTTCGTGGAGACGATGCACCAGATCGCGTCGGCCACCTCCGACCACATATACTACTCTCACCAGCTCGTGGCACCAGCGGTCGAGGCCGCGCGGATGGCGGTCGCCAGCGGGCAGCCTGGTCTCGCTCAGAAGCACGCCTTCGCTTCTGCCCTGGCCACCCGCGGGCCCGACTGCATCGGGCCCTTCTTGCAGGACCGCGTCGTGAAGGAGCTCCCGCACGCTGGTGTGTTCTTCATTCACAACCCCTCCATCATGAACGACATCCAGGCCGCCATGAAGAGACTGCCCCCATCGTGGGCGACGGCGTGGATGAGGACACTATCCTTTTCTTGGCTCACTTCCCACCGCATCGCCTACCCATGCGGCAGACGCCTGTGCATCTTCGGCTGTGCCAGGGGCCAAGACAAGATGCGCCACTACCTAGTCTGCGCACCGCTGGCGCAGGCTGTGGGACGGGCATGCGGCGCGCCCCCCCTCTCCACCGAGTTCGCGAAGCTCGGGCTCACCGACCAGAGCAACGAGAGCGCCGAGTCCATCGCGGTCGCCTGCCTCACGTACCATGCGCTCAGGCAGGAGACCCACGTCTCGGCGGAGGCCACCCCGTCGGCCGCGCGGGCGGCCCTGCGGGCCACGAAGACTATGAAGAAGCCGCCGCCCGTGCAGCGTCGCCACCTCCGCCGCCGACGCGAGGGGGCAGCACCTGGACACGGACATCCACTTGCACATGATCGGCATCGTGAGGGAGATGCCGACGTACATCATCCACTTCGGCTCCATGGGGCCGCCGCTGATCATGATCAGCCTCCAGTTCACGTTCGAGGAGATGCCTGGCATCCTCCTCTTGGCGCGCTGCCTGTGAGCAGGTGAGCGCGGGCGCGGGGGCTGCTGGCGCCGCGCGGGGCGCGGCCGTCGGGAGCCTGGAGCCTTCCCCTCCGCACGCTCGACTCCTCCTCCTCCTCCTCCTCCTCCTCCTCCTCCTCCTCCTCCTCCCCCTCCTCCTCCTCCTCATGGAGGAGGAGGAGGAGAAGGAGGAGGCGACAGCCGCTCGGCAAGCTGGGCGCCAGCCTTCACGCCACCGGCGTCCAACCCCAAGCGGTCTACGGCCACGAGGTCCGGGGCATCGGCCCCTCGCGGATCATCCAGCTCCGACGTCCCGCGGCGGCTGCGGCGGCGGGTGCGGGGCCTGGCCGCTGCCTGGACACCGCCATGGCCATCCTCTACTACCTGAAGGGCCCGGCCATCAAGCTGCGCACCCAGCTGGTCCACGAGTGGCTCACCCAGTGGCTGGCACGGCCCGAGCACCACAGGAGGGCCCAGCGCACCTGGCCCCACGTGCACCACCGCCTCCGAGCCAAAGGGGGGCGCTGGCGGAAGGTCCACGGCCCCGTGGTTGCCACCGCCGCCACGCTGCTCGACGCAGGTTTGAGGCCCCGCGGGGCCTGGCTCCTGGAAGAGGCCCACGGCCGACGGCGTCGAGGAGTGGACGATCCCCCTCGCCGACCACCATGGACGGCTCCAGGTGGACTCCCACGGGTATGCCGAGCTGCTGGACGACCTCACCGAGGACCTCGACCTCATCCGCTGACGGCGCGCGGCCAAGCACGCCCGCGGAGGAGGCCTCGGCGATCGAGGAGACGTCATCCAGATCAAGCGGGAGTTCGACCACTGCGCCAAGCAAGGGCACTGGCAGGAGTGGGCTCTCAACTACCTCGTCGCGGTCGGGGGGGCAGTGGCCGAGGCAGCGGCAGATTGACGCTGGCTACCAGGGTTCCTCGCTGTGCCAGCGGTGCTTCGGCGAGGCAGAGACCCTCGAACACCGCATCTGGCGTTGCCCATGCAACACGGGGAAGCCTGCCTACGACCAGACGGCCCAGCTCATTCCCCAGGCGCTCTTCGGTATGGACCTTCGCCCCGCCCTGTGGCTCCGCGGCATCAACCCCAGAGCCAACGCCGCGCCGCCCCCGCCGCTGGACCATGAGGAGGTCTACGTGCAGGACCCACGCTCCAGCAACCCGCCTGCCCGACCTGGCCGCTTGGGCTCGGCGTCCCGACCTGCCCGCTGTGGGTCTGCCCGCGCGATGTGCCCGTCCGGTTCTACCATTAGTTTTCTGCTCCTTGCCCCCTCTCGTGCTCATCTCTCCCGTGCTCCATTATTCTCCCTCTCCCTTCCACCCGTCTTCTCGTCTCTTGTGTTAGGGGCTGCACTAAAATGCACGTGGCAGGTAGAGAAGATATATCCCCAAGGGGGCACGATGGAAGACGACGAGGGCGGGCACACCGAGGATTTGGGATCTACGAATTGAGTGGCACGTGAGCAGATTGGAGCGAACAGTCTTACAATGATTGTTGTCGAATTCTCACGATTGACCATTGTGTTTTCTGTCAATTGAACTGCTTCCCCCGGGGCTTGCACACTTTCTTTTTTATCAAAAAACTAGACAAGGGAAAGCCACGGGGCTCAAACTATGCTGTTGGCCCCTGGATTACAACAGCCACAGCTCCCGCCTGAGACTTCTCCAACATTTAGCCAGGACCCCCGCTGTCGCTTGAGATTTCCTCGCATGTTACTCAGGAATCGCGCTCTCGCTTGGGACTTCTTTGCAATTGATTCAGGATTCGCTTTGTCGGCGCTCTGGAGCCGTGCTCTCGCTGGGGAAACTGCTGGCAATTTACTCCAGATTCGCGCCTTTGCTGTGCAATTCCCAACAATTTGCTCAAACGCCGCGCTCCCGACACGCAGGCACCCAGGAATCGCGCTCACGCTTTGGACTCCCTCACTGCCCGCTTAGGAATCGGAATATCGCTGCCATTCGTGGCCCCGTTGCAGCCCTTCGTGGCCCCATCGCTGCCCTTCGTGGCCCCTCTGCAGCCCTTCGTGGCCCCCTCGCTGCCCTTCGTGGCCCCGTTGCAGCTATTCGTGGCCCCCCCGTTGCCCTTCGTCGACCCTTCGCAGTCCATCGTGACACCCTTCGTGGCCCTTCGTGGTTCGCTTTCTGCTCGTCGTGCCCCCCCGCTGCAGTCCTTTATGGCCCCCTCGCTGCCCTACGTGGCCCCGTTGCAGCCCTTCGTGGCCCCCTCGCTGCCCTACGTGGCCCCGTTGCAGCCCTTCGTGGCCCCCTCGCTGCCTTTCGCGGCCCCGTTGCGCCCGTTCTTGACCCCCTCGCTGCCCTTCGTGGCCCCATACATCTATGCTCTTCGTGGCCCCCGCTCGTTCGCGCCCGTCGTGGCCCCATATGCATGCGCCTTGCGGCCCCGTTGCAACCCTTCGTGGCCCTGTTGCTGCCCTCAGTGGCCCCGTCCTTGCCTTCTGCGGCCCAATATACTTATGCCCTTCGTGGCCCCCGCTCGTTCGCGCCCGTCGTGTCCCCATATGCATGCCCTTCGTGGCCCCGCTGTCGCCCTTTGTGGCCCCCTCGCTGTCCTGCGCGTCCCCGTTGCTACCCTCAGTGGCCCCGTCCTTGCGCTCTGTGGCCCCGCATTATCTGCCCTTTGTGGCCCCCGCTCGTTCGCGCCTTTCGTGGCCCCATACGCATGCCCTTCGTGGCCCCGCTGTCGCCCTTCGTGGCCCCCTTCCTGCCCTTTGTGGCCCCGCTCTCGCTCTCGCTCTCCTTTTCGCTCGTCGTCGTCGTCGTCGTCGTCGTGGTCGGTCCCGTGTCCGTCCCTCTTGGGGCCGGGTCGCCGCAGAGCAGCGCTGCCGCTGGCCAGGCCGACGTTCCGCGGCCGCCCCGCCGCTTGCCTGGGCCCGGCCTGCAGGGAAGAAACATATACCCCCCAAAAGGGACACGATCGAAAACGGAGAGGGCGGGTATCGAGGGTTGAGGAAGTACGCGTTGGATGACACTCGAGTTGTTGGTGGTGGTGGTGTTGTTGTTGGTGGTGTTGATGTCGTTGTTGACTGGCGCTCCTCTAGACTTGGCGTTTCAGTCAGGGGAGGCGGGGTAAGGGGGGGCAGAGATGAGGAGCATAACGGAAACAATTGGAGACTGCCGAACGGGATGGGATGTTCAGGGAAACCTGGCACCCTGGGGGGAAATGCCGCCCGGCATGAGGATCAAGGGCGCGCGCGAAACCCGACGCTGGCATTCGCACGCCCCCCCCCTGGACCTGCGGCAGGTTAGCACCGCCTCCGCGCGGCGGCGACGCATTCAACGTCTAACTCCCTCTGTGGGTTCGTGTCGGGCCCCAGGAGCCACACAAAGCAACCCACGGCGGGAAATGTGCACGAAAGGCGAAACGTGAGGCCACAGCCTCTTGGGGACCTCCGAGAGCTGAGATCGTTCGAGGCTACATGGCTCGCACGTGGCAGAAGCCAGGGCCCGCGTCTTCGAGGCGGGAGCTTGCTGCAGCATGATGGACCCTGGGAAGCGCGGCCACCATCTGAGCCCCCCCTCCAACTGCTCGGCCCGCCAGCGATCTAGACACCCGGGCTGCCCAGCGCCGGGTCCACGTTCGACTCCCCTCCTCAAGTCCACCCTCCTTCTTGCTCCCTCCTTCCCTCCCCATGGACCTTGCCACATGGCCACATGCTCCTATTCACGCGCCCTCCCTCCCTCCATCCCCTTTCCTCCCATCCCTGCCTCCCTCCCCCATTCCCCCGTCTCCCCCTCCGCCACCTTTCCCCATTTAGGAGACCAAACAACGACATACACATAACAACTCGGAGGCCTGCGCGGACCTCAGAGTTATCATGTTATGTTATTGTGTGTGTGTGTTCCCCTGCTCCCTCCCTCCCCCCTCCCTCAATCCCCCGTCCCCTCCTCCACCACCTTCC